CTCTGCCCGCCTCGCCCGCCCGCCTGCTCGCTCGCTCGGCCTTTCGAGGTGGCGGGAGGAGGCGCGGCGGCAGCGGCGGCGCACCCGCGTGTCTCAGAGTTTGTGCGGCGTGAGCGCCCCCGCCCCGGCCCGCCGCTGCGCCCCGAGCGCTCGGCGCCGCTTCCCGGACTCCCGCCCCGCGCCCGCCAGGCGGAAGCGGGTCGCGGGCCCGGAGCCCCGAGAGGGCGCGGTGGCAGCCGCGGAGCGCGGGGCGGGCGTGCGCAAGGTGGACCGGATGTGGGCGCGCGGGCCGGCCGCGGGAGGTGCGTCGCGGAGGAGAGCGGCGACGGCCGCCGGGGAGACGACAACTTTCGCGGCAACTTGGCCGAGACCGGCGCCCTGCGCGTGCCCGGGCGGTGCGCTCGCTCAGAGCCCGCGCTTCTGGGCGCCGCGAGCGGACGAGGGTCGGGGCGCCCGGACTGTATGCCCAGCCAGAAAGTCGTTCCCGCCCCGGCCTCAGTTTCCCGACCCGTAAGGGGGTCGGAAGGTCGGGGCGGGAAGCTGCACGCCGCGGAGCGCGCGGGGCTCGGTCCGAGCCGCGGCGGAGGGGCCTGGAGGAGTTCCCGAGCGCGGGGAAGAGGTCCTTCCCGCGGAGGAAACAGCTCGACTGACGGAAGAGGCAGGGTTGGGGTGAGAGCGGTACGAGGGGCTCGGGAAGGAGCCCGGCAGACCAGAGGCGGGCTGAGCTCCGGGCCCCAGCGGGAAGCTCGGTGGTTAGAGCCCGGCCACAGCCGGGAAATGAAATTCTATGAGGGAGAGAGAGGGCAGGTTTCAGAGCTGAGAAGTCACAAGAGTCAACCCAGCCAGATGAAGGGTTGATCGGGGAAGTGCTGGGGGTTTGTGAGGGCTTTGGGCAGGAAGGGGTGCCTGGATGGTGAAGACACGGAGAGGTGGGACGGGGTCGGATGTCCAGGCTGGGTCACGAAATTCTCTTTGCCAAGTTTTCCAGTTCGTGAGCAGGGTGGAGAGAACGTGGCTTGCTGGATGTGGTAACTTGTGCAAGTGCTTTCAGGTAATTCAGAGCACTGTTAACTATGGAAGGCCCACCTGCCCCGGACAGGCCTTCCTCCTCTGGCCAGCTGTCTGGCCTGGCTTGTCCCAGCCTCCTTGAGTCTTAAGTGTCATCTATAAAAAGCAGATTTAAAAAAAAAAAAAACCCTTGCAGGGTGTAATGAAGGATAACTAAATAGCATGCGGAGGCACTGTGGACCAACACTACTTGTTATATTTCTTTGCCCCAGGAATTTTAGAGCTTTAAAATACTTTTTGAGGGGGAAAAGAGATCTTAAATAGTTGTCCAGGGAACATAAATCATGAGTCCATTCTCAATGCCTATTTGCACTCTGGCTTTTGTCTGAAATACTCACATATTTCCCCCTCTCTAGAAAGAGTTGGATTTCACTGCTCCCAGAGTTGGGAATCAACTTCACCACTGTCCCCAAACTAACAGATGAACTAGGTATGGGTGCTTGCTTACTCAGATGTGGAGGAGAATAACAAATGAAAAAGATTTGTGAGTGCATATATCAGACTGGGAGCCAACTATCCTTAGATTATTTACACAAATGTCCCTAATTGGAATTATCATCTTTGTGTTTTAGGACAGCTTGTTTGCTTATTTATAGTAATTCAAAACTCTGTTGTAAAAGACCAGGAGGGTAGGGGAAAGCCATAGGTGATCTCATTCCTCTCTGAAAGATTAATAAAACTTCTTTGTTGTACAATATTGTCTGACAACTTACCAATTTTTTGCTCCGTTTGCAAAAGCGCAACTGTTTTAGCATGGGTTCTCCAGTGGACAGCAGACAAAAATCCAAGGAACCTTATCAGACAGAGGTGGCTTCTGGTGAGTTTTATGCTGGTCTCCAGGATCACTTTGAAATGAGTTTGCTGTGAAATAATTGCACTCTGCCATACTTTGGTGTTTTGTGTTTTCTGTTTTCTGTCCGGCTGGTATTTTGTAAACAGTGGTGCTGTGGGAAAAGAGCTTGAATGGCAACCATGGTGAAGGACTTGCCTCGTATCTCTTGATTTGTAGCACCCAAGGTTCCTTATCTTGAGATTCCCTTATCTTGAGTTCCTTTTTGTATAATAGGGAAGGAGTGAGTGGGGAGACCTTTGAAGACTAAAGGGACAGCCTCCAAAATGCAAAACCAGAAGTCCATGTCTTTGCTCCTGCCTGACAAAAGAGAGTCTGTTTTCTCTCAAGTTCCTCTACCTCAACCCTCCCCAGCCAGCTAACATCTAAAATGGAGGACACTGGAGCTCTTGGATGATCTGGACTCAATGGAAGCCTGACAAAGAGTTTATGAATGTTTAACCTACGTCAGAAATTCGGAGAAACTCTTGTAATAAGCATGTAACTTTTTAAAGCATTTCCTCGGGAGTTTCAAGGCAGTTCTGAACCTCAGTGATTCTTTAGGGCAACATGAGAGTAAGGTGTCTTAGAAAAGATTTCTTCATCTCATTTGCATGTAGGAAAACTAAAGCCCAGGAAAACAAAAGAACTTCTTCATGGTCACATAGAAGGCTTGAAACACACCTGGGAACATGCTGGCGTAAGAGTCCACAAAGTATTAAGTCTTCATCGTGGTATTTCATGACCAAAACATTTCTGTCCATGGTCAGAGCACCTTCAAAGGGTATCACTGTGGTACCCTTAACCTTTGAATGCCTAAGACCTCAGAGGAAACAGTTTTTTGCTCAACTGATAATGGTCGTCAATATGGCCAATTTTCTAGGTAACGAGAGGGGTTGGATGAGAAAATGAAGCCACTTTCTTGGAATAAAGCCTATTTATTTTTATTGCTGGAACAAAACCAGCAGGGAGGTAGCTTTTGCAAAGTTCATGTCAGTATCTGCATGTGCACTGAGAACGATTTGGTGGTAAGGTGATGACCCTTACACACCTTTTGTTGAGTTAGTATTAAAGGAAAGTATCTGACCATAGTTGAGCTACTTTACCCTTCTGGGCTTCAGATTCATCATTTGTAAAATAGCCCATCCATTTACTCGCAATAAACTCCAGCTCCCCTGCACTTTTTATATTCTCCAAATCCTGGGCCATCTCAGAACTCCACCCCTTTGTACATACTGTTTCCTGTCCCTGGAATGCATTTCCTCCTCTGGTAAACGCCTCCTTCCTCTCCTGACTTTGTGCCAAGATAAGCTCAGTACTTCATTCATAAGGATAAGAGATACCTTGTCTACTAGAGATAGTTGCATGACATTGTGAGTATGCTGAAAAAAAGTGGCGTGTACTTTTTTTTTTTTTTTTTTTTTAGTTTCCTTGGTACTGGGAGTTGACCTCAGGTAAGTGCTGTACCATTGAGCTGTGGTGTGTGAATTCTGTCAATTTTTAAAAATTTTTTTAAATAAAAGCAGACAATTCATTTGAAAGAGACCTGGCAGGCAGCTATTCTGAATAAGTAGCATTAGAAACGGAAATGCTCCTCAATTGTTTTTAATTAGAAGAAAGTTTTCTATTACGTGTTGAGTTTCTAGAATAAGATCTTGTATTTTTACCCTTTGAATTTCCTTCAGCCAATGTGTAACCTGGTCCATAACAGGGGCTTGGGTAGTATTTGTTGAATGCACAACCACCTGGAAATAGACTGAGTGAAGGGGTGCGTGATGGTACCTATCTTGCACAGTGCTTGACATGTAGCAGGAGGACTTTCCCCCTTGTCTGAATTCATTCATCTATGTGTGCCATTACACAGTGACGCTGAGGACACAACGAAGAAACATCTTAATTTCATGGTTAGTGAGGGAGGCAGATGGATCCCAGGTCATAGTGTGCTTTACAGGTGCCACAGTAGACTGAGCAGAGAAGAGATTTCATTCACCCTGTGCTCAGGAGGGTTCATCTTAGAACCGAGGTTGGGAATGGGTATTAAAGGATAACTAGCAATCTGCTGATAGGAGGAGGTGTGAGAACTAAATCCTGGGCAAAAAAGGATCACATGTACAAAGGCACAGAGGTATACATAATAAAGCACTGAAATCAAAGCAGTGTGCAGTCGAAAATAAGTTTGAGAAAAAGCGAAATAATGCAAAACAAAAACAAGTTCCCAGAATCAAACGTATGGATCTCTAGATTGAAGAAATTTCCAGAAATCCCAGCACAATGACAACATTCAGAGCAAAGCACATCATTGTGAAACTTAGAACTCAAGTTATAAAAATATCTTGAGCAAAACAAATCACACACACAGGGTTTAGAAAAAGAATGGGAACATATTTTTTTTTTTCTGTTAGTACATGTTTGCAGTATATAATGATTACATTCCTTTGTGGAGGGCTGGGGATTTAGCTCAGTGATTCCGGTGCCTCCCTTGCAAGTGCAAGGTCCCAAGTTCAATCCCTGGTACCAAAAAAAAAGCCATTCCTGTGTGGAGTTGGTATATGGACATAACACATCTTAACTTCTTTTTTTCCTCCCCTTTTCCTCCATTTCTTGATCTCCTTCCATTTTGCAGAATTTCTATCTCCCTGTTTCCAACTATCTTTTATTTTGCTTTACAATTTATTTATATGTTGGATCTCTTTATAAGAGAAATCATGCAATATTTAAGCTGTGTGTCTGATTTAGTAAACTTAACGTGGTCTCAAGGTGCATCCATTTTCCTACAAATAACTCAGGGTTATGGCAGAGTAGTACTCCACTGTGCATAAAAACCATATTTTCTTTATCCATTCATCTGTTGATGGATATATAGGCCTTCAAGATTTAGCTGGTATGAATTGTACTTCTATAAACATGGGTATACATGTATCGCTGTAATATGATGTCTTTAACTCTTGAGAAAGATACATAGAAGGGG